CAAATTTGTTTATTATTCTTGTTTTCTAGAGATCTTATATATGGTAGCAATTTGGTTACTAGTCTGTAGAAGAATAGTATAAGATCTTAATTTAAAAAATCATTCAAAATACACAAACAAAAATAACTACATAGCTTAATCTTACTCTGAAAATTGCTAAATCAAAGTTTTTTATGTAAGGTTTGCACATGTCATGCCTGTATGAAACTCAAGCTTTATTGATAGATACTTTTAAATGTAAAAGTAATTGTTGGGCGGTAGGGTCAAACAACTTAATCATTGTGCTTGGGTTTAAAGCTTTTATGCATAAACTCCACTCCTTTTCTCCTTGTTATTTTCTACAATTTTAGTTATAGGTAATATACTAATATTGTAATGTTGTTTCTTAGTACTTATGTCAGCACATGAAAACTCTTCTCACATATTAATGAGTTTATTTGAGAAGAAAGCGCACTTTAATTATTGATGGTTACTTGCTTACAGGTTCTGTCTGAACTTTCACCATTCATTGCACTAGCTGAGAAGCTTGCGAGACTGGCTGTGCAATTGGTTGCAGGTGGAAGTGGTGTGAAGTCTGTCAGGGTGACCTATGCTTCTGCCAGAAGTCCAGATGATCTTGACACCCGGCTTCTTCAAGCCATGATCACAAAGGGTCTGATTGAGACTATTTCCAGTGTCTTTGTGAACTTGGTGAATGCTAACTTCACTGCCAAGGAGAGGGGACTTAGGATAACAGAGGAGCGTGTTCTTCTGGATGGATCACCTGAAAATCCCCTCGAGTCTATCAAGGTTCAAATTGCAAATGTGTAATCGAAGTTTGCTAGTGCTATTTCTGATTCTGGTGAGATAACAGTAGAGGGAAGAGTGAAGGATGGGAAACCCCATTTGACTAAGGTGGGATCCTTTGGCGTTAATGTAAGCCTGGAAGGCAGCCTCATACTCTGCAGGCAGGTTTATCAACCGCATCTGATTGGAAAGGTGGGAAGTATACTAGGCGATGAAAATGTTAATGTGAATTTCATGAGTGTCGGAAGGATAGCTACATTGGAACAAGCTGTAATGACAAGTGGGGTGGATGAAGAACCCAGCAAGGAGGCACTGAAGAAAATTGGATAAATCCCAGCTGTTGAAGAATTTGTTTTCCTGAAGTTATAAAGTGATCAACAATCATACAGGACTTACGCAAATTTTGTACAAATTTCTGATGTTTTTCTAGGTTGAAAGTTAATAATTTCTCAGAGATCAAGATTGTTTTGTTGCATCAATCTGTCACAAGTTATTGCAGACTGCAGTCTTATTTCTTGGTAGTTTGTTGTCAAATTTCCTAAAAACTGTAAATTGGTCCCTTAAATTGTTTGCTTTTAATGTTGATCTTCTCCTGTAGCTATTGGTACTCCTCTGTTTTAGCTCCATATAATAGTACTGCGGCCTTGTTTACTGAATGATCTAAGCACTTGTCTTTCAAAATGGAAGTTTGGAACTTCTGCTAATGCAATTGAATATCATGCACCATTTTGCTTTTCTCCTGTTGTGATTTTCATATGTCCTGCTGAAATAAGAAACAGGGTAGGTGTAGAGATCTAGGCTGCACTGCACGCAAGAGTTGCCACTGCTGACCATACATGTCCCTTTTCAGTTGCTCCTGGCCAGATGAGCCACGGCATATCTGTAACCTAATCTTGTAGTTCTATATATTAAAGGAGCATGGAGGACGTCCATATCCAAGTAGGTGTTGCTGAGTAAGATTGCATAATTATCTGAAATCCGGCAGCACAGACACAAGAATATGTATTTTTTGTTCTTATAATTATTTGCAATTTGATGAGTATAAGGATCTGATTCCATCAACTCTTGGCAGGGAACTGAAGATACAAATGAATGAGCAAATCCAAAACAAAGTGGACACTGTAGATTACAAGTCACCCCCTGGGAAATGGGAAGAAGAACCCACAAAGGAGAAAGTGGGGTGGTTCACTTGATTCATTACGAGGAGAAACTTGCCACCACTGCAGCTGATGCAGCGCCAAAAGCCTTGGTGTCTAGTCAAACAAAGGAGATTCCATTTCAGGCGCAGGATCCAGGACAAGAACAGGACTAATCCACAACAAAAATGTGAAATATACACATTTATACACTGTATTCGAATGGGGCCGAATATAATCTATTTTCAAATTTGGTGATCTTAATAGCTCTGCGACTCTGTGCTGTCCTTGTGGAAAAAATAGGTTATCAATGAGAAAAATATAGGTTATCAATAAGAAAAATTACATGCAAAAGGAGCACTTGGAATTAAACGAAAGTCCTATTTTATTATTAGCGATTTCTAATACATGCTGCTTCAGCCTGACTCATATTGAATAGGACAAACACAGAAGGTGCATTAAGCCCTGCATAACTGCTAATATTAACCCTCTTTTCTATTATTGTTAATTTGCTGCTAAACCAAGATTGCTCTCATCATAATGCCTAATTCCAGATTCCGACCTTCATGAACCCATCCTCAGTAGCACACCCCCTGAACATCCCGTTCGTATTAAACCTACAAGCCACCTCCCCGTTCTTCGACACCGCAATCAGTCCGGCAAACCCTTGGTCCAGCCTTTCGTTTATCACGAAATCCACTGCCTGTTGGAGATTCAATCCTTTGTACTCCATCACCGCCGCCACTTCCCTCGCCAGGGTCCCACGTATGATCGCCTCACCCTCTCCAGTGCAGGATACTCCACACAAATCACACGCGTAGGTTCCGGCACCTATGATTGGTGAGTCACCAATCCTACCGGTCATCTTGTTCATCAGCCCTCCGGTGGACGTCGCCGCCGCACACTGGCCCTGACTGTCCACCGCCACGCACCCAACTGTCTCCGGCGCGTAGATACTGATGGGGAGTCCGTTCATCTGGAGAGGACTGTCCGTGGCGGCGGCGCCGGCACTACAGCTCTCAATTGGGACACGGTAATCAAACTGGTCAAAAAGTGGGTGGAAAGTTAGTCTTGTGGCAACATCATGATCTGTGAGGACATAAACAACAACCGTTGATGGAAAATCGAACGTACCAGAATTGAATTCGCTTCTTTCGCTAATTTAAGCATCCCCACGTTTTCTTCAGTAATAAAATAGTCATTTTCCACCGTTTCAACACCCTGCACGGAAAACCCGACATGTCAGGCATCTGTCACTTTAATCAAACATATGACATAAGATTTTTCTGACAGTTGTTGTACACGTGACGGCCGAATATGTTGGTGGCGTGGTGAGGCTAAAATGGGAAACCAACCTGTTGCCTGGCGAATTCTTCTGCCCCAGAGAAGGCCAGGTAGGAATGCGGGGATTTGTCCATGACGAGGCGGGCAAGAGAGATGGGGTTCTTCACGGTGGTTACACCGGATACGGCGCCGCATCTTCTCTTGGGCCCGTCCATAATGCTGGCTTCCATCTCCGCCGTTCCTTTCGCGGTGAGGGCAGATCCACGGCCGGAATTGAACAGAGGATCCGTTTCCAATTCTTTTACCTGCACAACCAAAACCCACAATCACATTCTTGAAGGCAAAAATATTTTAGCGTCTTCTTCGTTGGAATAATATGGTGGAATTAACATTTTTTGAAGGGGAAAGAGAAACAAGGGAAGGGAGGAGGGGGAGAAATTAACGTACGACGAGCTCGACGACATCAATAGCTGGGAGATTAGATCGGAGGGCAGAGATGCCGATGTCGAGACAGCGAGTGAGGAGTTTCTTGGCCTCCTCCTGTCTGTGTGTAGGGAGATTAGGGTCTACACCAGCGCCACCATGCACAGCAATAGCCCAGCCTCCCATTTCTGTCTCCGGCCTCTCTCTGTATAAATTCTCTTGCTCTTTGCGCTCACGCTGCGCTCTTTACTACAAATGGACAGGCTCAAGCACGTCGCCTTTTTATAGCCGATTTCGGACTCAACTCGTTTTTTAAATGCGTTTAATTCCTAACAGGCTAATGCCATGAATTTTCCTCAGCTAGTTAGGAATATCTTTTTTTTTTTTTTTTGAAAATTTTTCTGAT